GCAGGAGGATGACCTGAGGCCAGGAGTTTGAGACCAGCTTGGGCAACAGAGCAAGACTCTGTTTCTATACAGGAAAAAAGACAATTAAAAAAAATAGCCAGGTCTGGTGTCACACACCTGCAGTTCCAGGTAGACTAGTGCTTCAGCTCAAGAGTTTGAGGCTGCAGTGAGCTATGATCATGCCACTGCACTCCAGCCTGCATAACAGGTGAGAACCAAGAAAGCAAAGAAGAGAGAGAGGAAGGAGGGAGGGAAGGAAGGAAGGAAAGGAGGGAGGGAGGAAAGGAGGGAGGGAGGAAGAGAAAGAGGGAAGGAGGGAAAGAGGGAGGAAGGAAAAGCGAGGGAGGAAGAGAAAGGGAAGGAAGGAAGGAAGGAAAGAAGGAAGGAAGAAAGCAAGGAAAGAAGGAAGGAAGGAAGGAAAGAAGGAAGAAAGGAAAGGAGGGAAGGAGGAAGAGAAGGAAGGAAGGAAAGGAGGGAAGGAGGAAGAGAAGGAAGGAAGGAAAGGAGGGAAGGAGGAAGACAAAGAGGGAAGGAGGGAAAGAGAGAGAGAGAAAGGAAGGAAGGAAAGGGAGGGAGGGAGAGAAAGGGAAGGAGAGAAAGAAAGAGGGAGAAAGGAAAAGGGAGGGGGAAAGGGAAGGAAGGAGGAAGGAAGGAAGGAAAAAAGGAAGGAAGGAAAGGAGGGAAGGAGGAAGAGAAAGAGGGGAGGAGGGAAAGAGAGAGAGAAAGGAAAGAAGGAAAGGGAGGGAGGAAGGGAAAGAGAAGGAAGGAAGGAAGGAAGGAAAGAAGGAAGAAAGCAAGGAAAGAACGAAGGAAGGAAGGAAAGGAGGGAGGAAGGAAAGGAGGGAGGGAGGGAAGGAGGGAAAGAAAGAGAAAGGAAAAGGGAGGGAGGGAAAGGGAAGGAAAGGAGGGAGGGAGGGAGGGAAAAAAGAGTCAAAAGCTTTCCTTTCTCATGGTCCAGAGTAACTGAAAAGGTTGTTTTTCGTGTTCATCCTTGACTAGGTTACACCGCAGAAACCACAGTCTTACGGCTAGCAGCAAGCATTTATTTCTCACTCAGATCTCGCGTCCTTTGTGGGTAGGTTGAGGGTTGAGGGCTGGTTGAATGACCTGACTTCTCAGGTCATTCCAGGACCTAGAATGAAGCAGCAGCCCCTCCCCAGTGTAAATGTTTTGTGTAAGAAGAAAAAGAGAAATGGCAGGGAACGCAGTGGCTTTGAAGCTTCTCCTTGGACTTTCATACATTTCTTCTGTCACTTTCGCTCTCAGTCGATCGGCCAAAGCTTGACCTCGACAGGCAAGGAGATGCCATCCTCTCCTACGGGGGGAAACCAACACAGCAGACCCTGAGGCGAAGCAGAGGTGGGGGGCACTGACCCACGCGCAGTCAAAATTCCAAGTCCCCAAAAACTTAACAGCTAATAGCCTGTTGCTGACTGGAAGCCTCACCCATAGTATAAACAGTGAATTAACGCTTATATGTTACCTGTCTTATACACTGCATTCTTACAACAAAGTCAGCTAAGGAAAAGAAAATGCTATTACAAGAATCATAAGGAGGAGGGAATACGTTCATTAACTGGAAGTGCATCATCTTGAAGGTCTTCACCCTCATGGTCTGCGCCTGCAGCAGGCGGAGGAGGAGGAGGAGGGGTTGGTCTTGCTGTCTCACGAGTGGCAGGGCAGAAGGAAATCCACAGATAAGTGGCCCCACGCGATCCAAACCCATGCTGTTCAAGGCTCAATTATCGCTGGGAATAGTAGACCCTGTTAGAGTCCACACTCTTGCTCATCAGTATTCATTTCCCTCTCTTTAGCTGCAAAATACCCTCCTCCTCTCCCCCAGGGAGACACCCCAAAAGTCCCATCCAGCTATAACACCAGACTCAAGCTCTAGAATCTCATGATGCTCATCAAATCTGGGTGTGGCCCCTCTTGGTCTGGAAACAAAAACTAAAAGACAAATCACTCCCCACCCTTGCTGGACGCAAACACACACTTGGCATACGGCGGTGGACCAGGGTCGGGCAACCATCAGAAACATTCCCTTCTGGAAAGCAAAAAGTGGGACACCCATAGTGTTCAGAGGCTCAGAGCAATTCTGAAACCCTGCTGGACAAAAACCTTGGGGTGAGTTTTTTTTTTTTTTTTTTTTTTTTTTTTCATTAGGTGTTTCTGCTTCCTAGGAATGACCCTCTATGGCATTGTTCTCCAAGATTCCCAGGAACACTGTCTTTTCCCATTATTCTTATAGTTCTCCTATGAGGGCATTGGGCAGTATACCCTTCCTGGGACCTGTGTAGCTTATCCTCATAATTGCCTGGGCGCATAGGTTGGGAAACCCAGAGATCCTTTACGTTTGGAACAGTTACAGCGTCTTTTAATCCAAGATTGTTGGCTCCTGGCCAGAACAGCTCTCTCAAGGACTTAGACATATTTTTATCTGAGTCCAATCAGCTTATGCTAATAACCACATCCACAATTATTTTTGAGACATACCTCTCTCTAAACTTGATAACAGGCTTCCTAGGAGAGTCACTTAACACATTCAGAGATGTTTTAAGGAGGCACTGATTTGCTTTAATAGGGCTGTATTATAAAGCATTTCTTTATTTGATCTCTTAATAGTTGGAGATGAGAAACAGTTGCTTCTGGTTCAGTGCCTGTAATCCCAGCACTTTGGGAGGCTGAAGCCAGAGTATTTCTTGAGGCCAGGAGTTCAAGACCAGCCTGGTTAACGTGGTAAAGCCCTGTCTCCAGTAAAAATACAAAAATCAGCCAGGTGTGGTGACATACGCCTATAATCCCAGCTTGTTGGGAATCTGAGGCAGGCAGCATAGTGAGACCCTGTCTCTATGAAAAATACAAAAATCGGCTGGATGTGATGGTGTGTGCCTGTAATCCCATGTCCTTGGGAGGCTGAGGCAGGAGGATCTCTTGACCCTGGGAGGTGGAGGTTGCAGTGAGCTGAGATCATGCCACTGCACTCCAGCCTGGGTGACAGAGCAAGACTCCATCTCAAAAATAATAATAATTAATTAATAAAAAATATCTGGGTATGGTGGTACACGTCTGTAGTCTTAACTACTCAGGAGGCTGAGGCAGGGGGATCACTTGAGCCCAGAAGTCTGAAGCTGCAGTGAGCTATGATCACACCACTGCACTTCAGCCTGGACCACAGAGCGAGAACTTGTCTCTAAAAAAAAAACCAGAAATTTGAAAAGGGGGCTTTGAGAAATGTGGGGGATAGAAAGATCACAGATGATTGTGAGAAAAAGAGAAACAATGGCTTCTTTCAATGCTGCAAGACCAGGAATTTCTGGGTTCTTTTTATGCTCCGTGTGCAAACCAACCAATTCATTCCTGAGCGGATCCCTTCCTTGTGGTGCTCTGTTGGATGTAACTGATTACAGTTGTGAATCAGGGCATTTGGTTTCACAAGCTTTTTACCTAAGGCCACAGGACTCGGATTCAATATCTGTCTGCCCTCCAAGGTGTCACAAGCAACAGCTGTACCACACGTTTTGCTGTTGCCTAACAGGGATCTCCGGTCAAGGTCTTCTCATTTTTCACTGCCTGGCTCTGGAACCAGCGCGTCATATGTTAGAACTTTGGTTATACTAGCCTCTTAGTTTTATGTACCAATTTCTCTATTTTTGACATAGACCAACAACGGTCTAAGTTATGCAGCGGCAGCAAACAAGCCCCAAATCTCAATGGCTCATAACGAAACGGGGTATTCCTGATGTGAGTCGTCCGTCGTGGTTCAGCTGCAGGTGCTTCCCACTTTATCCTCATTCTGAAAGCCAGGCCGAAGGAACAGCCCCTCTCTGGGGCATGCAATTCTCATAGCAGAGGGAAAGAACAAATGTTAGAACCACACGATGATTCGCAAAGCTGTGAATCGGATGTGGCGTATGTGACTTCTACTCACACTGCATTGGCCAAGAAAGTGACACCAGCAAACGGAATATAAATGGAGTGGAAAAGTACAGTCCTCTCTCGGGGAGGGGCAGGATGTCATCAGAAATTCTGCACCTCTCCATCAGCAGTTTTTCTTCATGAACATGACTTTGAACTTGTGGTTTTAACTTATTAGAACAAGATTCATGGCCAGGCACAGTGGCTCAGGCCTGTAATCCCAGCTATTTGGGAGGCTGAGGCAGGAGGATCACTTCTGCCCAGAAGTTCAAGGCTGCAGTGAGCCATAGTGACACCACTGGACTCCAGCCTGGGTGACAGAACAAGACCCTGTCTCTAAAATTTTTTTTAAAAAAGATACATAATTAGGCCAGGCATGGTGGCTCATGCCTGTAATCCTAGCACTTTGTGAGGCTGAGGTGGGCAGATCACGTGAGGTCGGGAGTTGTAAACCAGCATGGCAACATGGTGAAATCCTGTCTCTACTAAAAATACAAGAAAATAAAATAGCCGGGTGTGGTGGTGGGTGCCTGTAATCCCAGCTACTAGGGAAGCTGAGGCAGGAGAAGCGCTTGAACCCAGGAGGCAGAAGTTGCCGTGAGCCAAGATCGTGCCACTGCACTCCAGCCTGGGCGAGAGCAAGATTTCGCCTCAAAAAAAAAAAAAAAAAAAAAAAAAAAGATACATACTTAAAGCAATATGGGAATTGGCAGTGTGTTGGTAACTTATAAAATTTTTACAGACACATGCATTGTATGAAGGGTTTCACCGTTCTAAAGTACATGAGATACACAGGGTTGACAGCACACGGCTGGGTAAATAGGAAACCAGACTGGGAGGGGCATTTCTTTCCTCCAAGAATCTAAAGTGAAGGGAATATGTTCCCCTCTCTGTTGCCCCAACAAGTCCCTGCAAGTTGACGAGTATGCTTGCACCTGAACGGGATGGGACACTGCTCCTCTGAGATCCTGAGACACGGAGACGAGTTTCTGCAGAGCAGCCGCGGGTCTTGCCTGTCATGGCCAAGCCACCGTCCCATCTGCACCTGCTCCTGACCACCTCCCTGCCCTTTGTCTCCACAGTTCGACATGCAGAGGATAACTCTGGAGGAGCTCAAGCACATTCTCTATCACGCCTTCCGAGACCACCTAACGATGAAGGACATCGAGAACATCATCATCAACGAGGAGGAGAGCCTGAATGAGACTTCGGGGAACTGCCAAACGGAGTTTGAAGGAGGTAGGTGCCCCTGCTGCCGTCCCCTCCCGGTCTGGGACAGACCAAAGCACCACTTTCTCTCTATGAAAAATGTGTTTACACACAGGCTCCCGGGCTGATGTGGCTTGTACTGAAGTCAAAAATCCAGGACTGAGGTTAAAAGTCTTTTTTGCTAAGAAGTGATGGGCTTCATTTTCTCTGTCTTTTTCCTCCAAATTCTACATTTTTTTGCAGAATCTCCAATTGTCCCTGTCCTTCCTCTCAAGGCTCTCTGAGGTCTATGTGTGATTAGATGTGTGGTTTTGTGCTGTTTGCCTTTTCTCGGCGTGGCTGCCTGCGGCAGAGCAAAAAGCCTCTTCTGATGGTCGGCAAACTTAGGTTGAGTCCGTTGTGTGACCTTGGGCAAGGGATGACCCTTCTCTTGTGTTTCCTCATCTGTAAACGTCAGGATAATTACACCTGCTTCACAGAATTCTTAGAAATGGATGACCTCTATGTTCACAAATGCACTGGCCAAAAAAAGAAACCAGGGACAGAGTCCTCTCATGAACTTACCCAAGTAGTTACAAAAGAAATAAGGTTCTCTGGAGGGCAAGAAAGAGACCCATGAAAGGTTGGGTTTTCTTTTTTCTTTTTTTTTGGATTCATGAAAAAAAAAATTTAAAGAAAAAAAAAAGAACCTAACTGATCCCCTAATCAGTAGAGAATTCCTGGGAAGCAAAATGATTTCGTCCTTCCTTCCAACTTTGAAAATCAGAGTGGCTTTAAGCCTTGATGTATAGAAAAAAATTTTTTAATTACATTAAAATATCATCTGGCAGGCTCTCAGTGACTTTCCTGTTCAATGCTGACATTTCTTAAGGAGGCCAAATTTTTTTTCTTTTTTTTTTATGAGCATTTAAACAAGTCAGTATACATAGTTGGGAAGCTGCCACACAGACGCTGGAAGGATGTATTTGGTTGTGCGGTCTCACAGCTGTCTCCCTTAGAGCCAGTGAGCGCTGTGGAGGGAAGCTAGTGGGCTTGGGGCTGAGCCGGTCCCAGGCACCAGGACTGTCCATCCAAACCCAGGCTCCCACCAGCCCTGTCTGGGCTGAGCAGCTGCATCATGGAGCCAGCATTAAAGGCCATGACAGGAGGGAACAGGAGATGGTGTATACTCCAAGCTCACAAACAGTGGAAGGGCATAGTGGAGACTGTTGCAAAGCAGAGAACGATGATCTTTTCTGAAGTCACTCATTTAAACATTGCAAAAATGCCACGTGCATCAAACAAAACCCAGCTGTGGGCCTGAAGCTGCCTGGTCCCTGCTGCGGCAACAGGGCAATAGCATCGATGACTGTGTTTGGAGTAGGGGTCCCACGGATTTTTTTTTCTGTAGGTGGTTTCTCTCTTGTTGCCCAGGCTGGAGGGCAATGGCGCAATCTCAGCTCACTGCAACCTCTGCCTCCCGGGTTCAAGTGATCCTCCTGTCTCAGCTTCCCAAGTAGCTGGGATTACAGGCGTGTGCTGCCACACCTGGCTAATTTTTTTTTTTGTATTTTTAGTAGAGACAAGATTTCACCATGTTGGCCAGGCTGGTCTCGAACTCCTGACCTCAAGTGATCCACCTGACTCAGCCTCCCAAAGTGCTGGGATTACAGTTTATTGATTATTACAAATAATTAATGCTTATTATTGGTTAATTAATAATTGTAAGTCACTTAATGGTGTGCCTGGACTAATAATTATTACCATTATTAATTGCCATCAATAATTAGTCCAGACACTGCACTAAGTGGCTTACAATTATTAACCATTATGGTAATAATTACCATAATTAATATTGTCATAATTAATATTATGGTAATACTTATGGTATCATCTAACCATACCTAGCCATTGCCTAACCAGTAACTCTGGTAATAATTTTTGTATTTTATTTTTTATTTTTTGAGACAGAGTCTTGCTCCATTGCCCAGGCTAGAGTGCAGTGGTGCGATCTCAGCTCACTGCAACCTCTGCCTCCTGGGTTCAAGCAATTCTCCTGTCTCAGCCTCCTGAGTAGCTGGGGTTACATGTATGCACCACCACACCCAACTAATTTTTGTATTTTTAGTAGAGATGGAGTTTCACCATGTTGGTCAGGCTGGTCTTGAACTCCTGACCTCGTGATCTACCTGCCTTGGCCTCCCAAAGTGCTGGGATTACAGGTGTGAGCCTGTTAGTCCAGGCACTGCACTAAGTGTCTTAAAATTTATTATCTTATTTACAAAAGCTGTTATTTTGTAATTTGCATGTTATATTTTTATATGATCTCTGGGACCTTCATTACATAATCCTTTTGGATATTTTTATCTCAGAGAACTTTTATAAAGCATTATGTCACAGTTGTTTGTTCCCAAACACAAGCTCATTGATTTGTGTTTAGGTTTAAGAATTTTCCAAGCTTGGATATGATCAAAGTCATGGTTGAACATATTTAATACTCACAGGCCTTTCCACATGCAGGAAAGAGCCTCCCTGATTGCATTTGGACAGAGGTGTCTAGGAAGAGAATACTGAGGGCCTGAATCTACCTGGTCTGCATCCTAGGACTGGAGGAGTTTGTCTGAGACCCTGTGGCTCACCTTAGACCCCTCACCTCTATATTGCTCCCATATCCACAAGTTCCTCTCTGTTCTTCTATCAAGACCTGACTGCACAGTTGCATTGCTTCTACCTCCAAAATCGCCCTCTCCTCCTCTCAGCCTTGAGCCCTTTGGGGCCTCCCCATCTCCCCTAAACTGTCAACTCCTCCCTATCCTCTTTTGCTCTTAGCCTAAGCTGCATGCCTTGTCCAGTCACCTCAACTATGCCCTTGCTGACATTCTGTTACAGGACCACCAGGTTCTTATGCTCACTGTTCAGTAATAGACCAATACACTGAGACAGCAGGGTTTCCAGCAGAGAAAGAGTTTAATGACTGTAGGGTAGCTGAGGAAGGATACAGGAGGAATCCTCAAATCCATTCCCTGAGTTGTTTTGAGCTAGGATTTTTAAGGCGATTATGGAGGGCAAGGGACTGAAAAATTGGGAATGTTAATTTAGGATGTGGAAACTGCATTCTTTGGCAAGTCAGCTTCCCATGGGGTCCTTCATACCAGCTGACATCAGTAGTCTCACTGATATGCGGAACCTAAGGAATATCTCAAAGGGAAAACTTAACATTTTATACTGTTCAAGTTGTCATCAGTAGGGCAATTAAGGGGAACTATAATTGCGTGTGTGTGTGTGTGTGAGAGAGAGGAGAGGGGAGAGAGAGAGAGAGAGACAGAGAGAGAGGGAGGGAGGGAGGGAGAGGGAGAGAGAGAACCTGGCTTTTCATTAATGTTGATTTTTAAGTTCTGTGGTACATGTACAGGACGTGCAGGTTTGTTACACTTAAATGTGTGCCATCGTGGTTTGCTGCACCTATCGTCAACCCCTTACCTAGGCATTAAGCCTAGCATGCATTAGCTATTTTTTCTGATGTTCTCCTCCCCATCCCCCACCCCCCCAACATGTGTTCTCATTGTTCAGCTCCCACTTATAAGAACATGTGGTGTTTTGGTTTTCTTTTCCTGTGTTGATTTGCTGAGGATGATGGCTTTCAGCTCCATCCATGTCCCTGCGAGGACATGATCTTGTTCCTTTTTATGGCTGCATAGTATTCCATGGTTTATATGTACTACATTTTCTTTATCCAGTCTATCAGAAGACAGTGTGGCAATTCCTCAAAGATCGAGGGCCAGAAATACCATTTGACCCAGAAATCCCATTACTAGGTATATTCCCAAAGGAATATAAATCATTATGTTATAAAGAACTATAATCTTATAACAGGTGCTATGTGATTCTGGGGCAATAGCCAGCAAACGTCTATGAGGAGGCAGGCTGGAAAGCAAGCTGATCTCATGATCAATGCTGAGTGTGAAGCAAATGTCATTTATTTTCATTTCTCTCCTGCCCTTCTTCTTTGATTAATTTTCTAAGGTTATAGGGACAGTTCAATCCCAGATTCCCGACTCACTCTGTTGGCTCACTCCATCCCAAGTCTTGATCTAGCCAGCACCTAACTGTGAAGGGTCCAGGTGGTTTCCTTTATTTCTTCCAAGTGATGGAATTCTTTTCTCTTTAAACTGAATCCTCCTGGCAACCCCACATGACCAATAATAGGGAAGGGAATGGGCTGGGCCTCTACCCTAAGCCTCAGAGCCCCAACTCAGGTCTTCTTCACTTCTGCTAACCCACCCCTCACCCCCAGGAAGTTCCTTCCTGCTGCTCTCATTAGATCAAGCAGCTAATCACATCAATTAGGAAGGTCTTTGCCATCAAAAGATGGAAGAGGGCATCCGCCTCTGTACCAGAAACTAGGAGATGGGCAAAGAAACAGACATTTCATGACAGAGATGGAATTGAAAGAAGCCCACATCTGATGGCTGGGAGCTTGGCACAGTTGGAGGGAGGACTGAGATCCAGAGCATGGAAAAGGCTTCAAAATGCTGCTGTGGGCAGCACACGTGACAAAAATTCAATTAGAAATTAGTGGGAGGACTTGAGCATGCCACCAGCATCCTTTTTTTTTTTAATTTTATTTAGATTTTTGGGACGGAGTTTCACTCCTGTTGTCTAGTGCAATGGCACAGTCTCAGCTCACTGCAACCTCTGCCTTCTGGGTTAAAGTGATTCTCCTGCCTCAGCCTTCTGAGAAGCTGGGATTACAGGCAAGTGCCACCAAGCCTGGCTAATTTTTGTATTTTTAGTAGAGATAGCATTTCACCATGTTTGCCAGGCTAGTCTGGAACTGCTGACCTCAAGTGATCCCCCCACTTTGGCCTCCAAAAGGGCTAGAATTACAGGCGTGAGACACCATGCTTAGTAAGTTTATTTTATATATATATGTGTGTATATATATATATGTGTGTGTGTGTGTGTATATATATATGTGTGTATATATATGTGTGTGTGTGTGTATATATATGTGTGTATATATATATATGTGTGTATATATATGTGTGTGT